TGAAACAAATGCAACAACTGATTGTCCTTATTGTGATTATAAAACAACTGATATTGAACAATTTAAACTTCATATTATAGCTCATATACGTGATAAAAATTATCGATGTTTATTATGCAATCGTTTATATAAATATAGAGGTATGATAAAAAAAAAAAAAGTTTTTGTTTTGTTTACTTGTTTTTCTATTTGACTTCATTAACTCATTAATTTCTCATTATTATACAAAAAAGGTGATTGCTCATTTCATATACGTCGTAAACATCACCGATATAGTACAAATTCCAACGATTATATTCAACGGTTTTTATTTGATACAACTGATGGCGATGAAACTATGTCAAAACAATCCGGTGGACAACATGGAACATCATTAAATAGTTCAATTCATAATATAAATACATCACGTGAACAAGATGAACCTGTACGATATTTTGGTTGTCCTTATTGTGATTATACATCAAATTATGGTGGAGATGTTCGGTAAAACAAAAATAAAATAAGTTCTTTATTTTTATTTTTCTTTCTATAGAAAACATCAAGCACGTAAACATCCAAATGTTGAATCAAAAGTTATAAAAATAATTCGACAAGATGCTGAACATCAAATGTCTTCATCATCATCAAATAATAATAATAATAATAATAATAATAATAATAATAATATTATTAAGTCTAATAATATATCAAATGATGATACTATTGATGATGATAATCATGATCAAGATAATACAAATATAATAACTAAATCAAATATTAATTTAATTGAACAACAAGAACGTAAAGAAAAAATAAAAACAATTAAAAAAACTGATGCAAATTTTATTCAACAACATTCATCAACATTATCAATATTACCAAATTTTGCACCTGTTCGAGTTTTTCAATGTAGTTCATGTCATCAACAAGGAACATATAAATGGGTTGTTGAAAGACATATACGTGCTAAACATCCGGAACAACCCGATGTACATGTTATTGAATTACCAGCTGAATTAGCTGTTAAATTACAAAAAATAACACCACCATTAAAACGTTTTCGTTGTTCATTATGTCCATTACAATCGAAACATACATGGGTTATTATTCGTGTATGTATATGAAATTTTTATTTAAAACAAACATTTAATAATATTTTTGTTTTTAGCATATTAAACATTTTCATACATTACAAACAGCATCCGTTCTAGATATACAACCAGATGGAACACCAATAAATGATGAATCATATTCATTTCAAAATGGTAAATATATCTATCAACGAAATAGAAAAGTTCAAATACTTTTTTTTTCTATTGAATCAGTGTGTTTCATTCTAGATTGATCTATGAATACGAATAATAGACAGTAAACAAAATAGTTTGATTGTGAATAGTAGGGGCGTAACCACATTGGTTGAGAATATTGTATGAAAAAAAATGTTTTCGCGAAGAAAGGTACACAATTGATCCGTATCGTTTTCGCTAAGATTTTGTATGCATATGGAGAATTTTATTTTAAGAAAAAGTCTAAGAGGATTTGGATTGAAACAGCTCCTTCCATTAGATATAAATATTGCCAGTTTGATATTAAGAGAGAAATTATAAGAATAAAATTTTGTATAACTTGTGATAGAACTGCTCTAACAAGTTTGAAACGACTCATCAAAAACATGACTGACCTATCATAGATGCGGCAGACTTTTTTGATATGCGATCGAAGAGGGTATATTAATGGCGTCTCGTTCTAATATATATGTACTACTACTTCCTTATTACATTTCTAAACGGTTAAGTAAAATGACGGTAAAGAAATGAATGTCAAAAGAGATCGAATAAAATAATCATCCTGTGATTAACTACAGCAGCTACATTGTGTTTCACATTTTAATCTTGTAGAGATTGCAATAACAGCTTTTATGAAAAAATAAATATGCTCACATCTATTGACAGCAGTTGCTTCAAATCCATTAGAGACTTTTGATCATAAGTTAAAAAACAGAGAAATTAGTACATCTTTTACATATGATTTTTCATCGAATTCTCTTTAGTAGTTGTGAGAAATATTAAATAATTCTTTAAAAACAAAACTTTATTTAGGAGATCTTTCAAATAAATCCTATAATCATGATTCTGAATCATCATCAATAAGTAGTTCATGTATGGAAACTGGAACTGATGGACAAAATGATTTATTTCGTCAACAAGATGTTGAAGATGATGATGATGAAAATGATAATATTCGTACAGCATTAAATAATAATTCAAATAATACAATGATATTAACATATAAATGTTCATTATGTGAATTTACATCAAATATTCCATGGAATATTCAAAAACATATCAATGATGTACATCCAGGACAATCAAATGCTCATATGTTAACACAATATCGAACAACAATAAATGATAAAAATCAAAAATTAACAACAAAAAAATCTAAACATAAAAATGGTAATCAAACAACAATAGCAACAGTAACAAAAATACCAATACGAGCTCCATTATCTCCAACAAGTGCATTAGCTAAAGCAAAATTTTCACCAGCTGTTGAAGAAGCTTTACTTTCATTACAAGGTGCAAAAATAAATGGTGGTCTTTATGCTGTACAACCAAAATTTGGTATTAAACGTTTAAAATGTCGTCATTGTTTTTATCGTTCAAATTGGAAAACTGATATGATTCGACATGTAAGAATACGACATAATTTAACTGAACCTGATCATAATAAAGGTAAAATGAAAAGAATATTTAGAAAATTTTAATTATTAATTTTATTTTATTTTTTTAAATTAGATATGATTCTAATGAGTGAACAAGAAGCACGTGGAACAATTGAAACATATGAAAATACATTTGGAAAAGAATTACGACGACGTACATTTCGAACATGGAATGATTGGGCTAAAGCTGAAGAAGAATTTACACCTAAAGATGGTTCACTTCAATATGTAAATAAAATGGAAAAAAAAATCTTTTTGTTTTTCTTTTTTTGAATTATTAATATATTTTATTTTAGAGTGATACTAATGGTGAAACATTATCTAATGATAATAATAAATTGAAGAAAAATTCTCTAACAACTGGACAAATAACATCATCATCATCATCAACGACAACAAATAATGATGAAGTAAAACGAATAAATAAAACTAAAGTTAAACATACATCTAAAATAATAACACAAAATAATACACAATCATTATCAAATACGAAAGAAGTAACAAAAATTAATTTTTTTGTATTTAATTAAAAATTTCCTTTTTTTTTTGTTTTGTTTTTAGTTTAAACAATTACCTAATCCATCAAATATTGTTTCACGTCTTCTATTAACAACATCACCTTCACACAATAATGATGATGATGCACCATTAGATCTTTCACTTAAATCATCATTGAATACTAAAACAAATCAACAATCATTATCATCAAAAGAAATCATACAACAAAATGGAGATAATAATAATCGAGAAAAACAAAATATGGATGATGATTTAGATGATGAAGATGAAGAAGAAAATTCTGATGGAACATCAACTGTTACATATATATGTTCTGTGTGTCCATATAAAAGTTCATATTTATCTTCAGTTCAACGTCATTTAACAATTCATTTAACTGGTAAAGGTATTATTTGTCCACTTTGTTCTTATGCAACATCATCTCATAATTCAATGAATCGTCATATGAAAATTGTACATCCAACTAGTCAAACAATAATTAAATTTCAATCAGCAACTCGAATAACAAATGCAAATATAATCGAACAACATCCATGTCCATTATGTTCATATCAATGTGAACGTTCCGAAGCATTAGATCTTCATCGTCGTCTTGAACATGATGATGAAGAATTTGATATTGATTCATCATCAAGTACTGGTGATGGTGATAACGAAGATGAAATAGATAATGATGATATGCATGGATCCTTCGATAAAAATAATAATCTATTTCAATGTCCAATATGTACACCTTCGTCAAATACAAATAATTATTCAAATCTTGAACAGTTTACAATGCATGTATTTACTCATCATAATAATTATATGCATAACAATCAATCATGCCCATTTTGCTCATTTATTGCTCATACAACATCAAAATATACATTAACCGAACATATAAAACTTCATTTTAATGGTACACTTGTTCAACCAGATCCAGTTGTTGGTATTGAAAATGTAAAAGAGTTATTAATTGAATAAAAAAAAAAAAAAAGAAAAATTATGCATGACATATATTTACATGTATTTCGAGTTTTTATATTGTTATTATTATTATTTTTTTCCTCTCTTTTTTTCTTCTTCTTATTACGGTGGTAGTTCTACTTTTTGCTTTAATTCTTTTTGTTATGGTAGTGAAAAAACAATAATATTAAGAAGAAACAGTATTCAACTGTGTTATCATTCCAAATTGTTTGGTTTCATTTTTTTTTTGTTTAACCTTGAAAAGTCAATTGTGAGTTTTTCTCGTTTATAAAGAAAAAAAAATATATATAAAAATATATATTAAATTGATTTTGTTTTCTTTCTTCCTTTCTTTTTTTTTTTTTTCATTTCAAACAAATATCTTGATACAAGAAAAAAGAAAGACTTTATAATCACTGAAAAACAAAAAGAAAACAAACAAAAGATATAAAATGTTTTAATTTAATTTACGTTTGAATTATTAAGTTTTTTTTTCTTTTTCTTCTTTCGTTTTTTAATTTGCTTTATAAGAAGATTTTGTTGTTCAATTGTTGTTGAATTATCTAATGAATTTGATTGATCTATTTGATCAATTATTCGATCGATTGCTGAAACAAGTGGTTTTGTTGGAGTATTTTGTTTACGTCGTTGATGTTTACTTATAATAGGACGAATAATTGATTCAGATGATGTATTACGTGAAGGTAATTGAGCATATTTTGAATCTTCTTTATGATAATCTTCATCAGATGTTATTGTTGGTTGTAATATTGAAGTAAATGAAGTTGATGATCGATCAATAAAATATGTTGAATTATTATCTTGACTGAGATTATCATTATTATCTTCATCAGAATCGAGAATAATAAATTCAGGTATAGATTTCGATTGTGTAGATGAATCATTTGTAAGAATAATAGGTGAAGAAGATAAACTAGTTTTTACTGATTTGATTGGTGAAATTTCAATTATATCATCTATAAAGTGATAAAAATAAATGAAACTACATTTAGGAATATTTTTTTTTCTATGAAATCAACGATCGATTTTTTTTTGTATATATTAAGAATATAGAAGAATTAAAAGTGAGTTTCAGAAAATGTTTTACATGTTATTAACTAATTAAATAATAGATTGGGTTGATATTGTATGAAATTGAAAATCATAAAACTTTCTAAAAGTTGACGAGTTCATTGTGTTTAAAAACAATGAAAGACGCTATTCTGTAATGGCATAACTGAGACGGAGACTTAACCTCCCCCTCATCAAAAGGTTTTGAGTCCTCTCTACAAACGGTTGAGTTTCTTCTAAAAACATTATCAGAGAGTTTCTGCCCTCACTTCAGATATGGTCAGGGAGGCTGAGCCTCCTCAACAACTTTTTTCTGGTTAAGCAACTACTGTCGCTTTTTGTAAAATCATCATCATTGAGTGACTACATTGTGATATACATCTGCTCTTGTGCTTAGTTAGTGAGTATGGGGAGCTCAAGCAATTGGACACAAGAGCTCTGCGTCAAGCAATTCTTCTGTCCAGAGCTACAACTAATCATAGTCGTGGGAAAGATAACAGGCTATTGAATATGCAACTAGGTAATATCTTATATCGCAAGGCAGCTGGAATGCAGAGCTATTCTTCCTTATTTCAAAGCAACCTTCATGAAAAGATAGAGGCTACAATCTTCTAACCTCGTTGTATTTGTAGCACTTTGTATCGATTCTACTATTCTCTACTCTATCGGTTCTGACATTCTACAAATGTTTATCGTCCTCTTGGTCTAGGGTAGATTTTTTATGTACACTTCTTAAACATCATTCGAAACCTGATATTTGTTTCTGAATTTATTGTGCTATTTTCCTTTTCTTTGTTATTTCATTTCTAAATAGCAGTGACAGACATAAATATACAATGAATTATGCATACATTAAAAAAAATTCATTTTCGAACTCATTACTTTTAAATCAAATTGTGTTCAATTTGCTGTTGTAATATTACTACGATGTAGTGCATATGAAATTATTAAATATATTTCTGAGAAAAAATTTTATATTGCTCTCAAACGTTTTAAATTTTTAAAAGTTCACTATTTAGTGTCAAAAAAAAATGAATAGTTAATCTTTTGGCAACGGGAAACGCATATATATGTTTTGAGCTTTTGTGCAGATTTCAACTTGTACAGTAATCGATCTTCACTAAGTCATAACAATATTCTCTTCTTTCCTTATTTTGCTACTATCACACAGCATCATCGTGTGATAAAATTATACATGTATATCAAGGGAAAATAAGGAATTTTGAATCTGAAATTACTCGAGAATCTATGGAATTTCTATACGCAATATCTTTTAGAACAACGTGAAATTAAACAGAACTCCATAATATCCTGTCAAATGGAGTTGTTGTTGTTGTTGTTATTACTAAAGCTCTAATGTTACAGATCATCAAATGTTAAATTTTGTGAGATCTGTATTATGATATAGGATTTCAAAATTCTCCATAGAACCATCTGCAGAATTCTACAAGATTCTGCGCCATTCTACTTGACAGTACAATTCAATAATCTTATGAAGTTCGATGGTTCATTAAAAAATCCGCTATTTCTATTGATTTATACGTTCACTTCAAGCTTTTATGAAAAAAATCACAATGTTTGCATCGCTTCAAAAAATATTTCGTCGTCAAAAGGTTATGCGTAAATTATGAAAAATCGAAAAAGTTAATCGTCATAGAATTTCGACTATTCAAAAAAAAATCAAACTGTATCGACTAATTATAAAATAATCATAACAATTTATTGCATCAGTACACACAGATAATTATGTTCTTTGAATATTTGTTAATTAAAGATATATGTAATGATTGTTTCACAAATAATCGAAAATTTCTCATCAAGAGATACTCAAATTTTTGCATTTCATCAATAACAAATATATTGTCTAGAATGATTTCTATGTTAATTAACACATGTTTTAAAATGAGTTTATAATATTTGTTAACATCTTATTGAAAAATATATTATGATTAGAGATATGCGAGACGAAGTTTTCTTTTAGTCATGATTCCGATGATTTTAATTTTTGTTTTTTAGGTCTCATATCAATCTAGTAGAAATTATTCGAAAACTTCTTCGGATCAAATCTCAATAAGCCTTAAATATACGTGTCTTCGATTAATTCAGTTGGAGAAAGTCATTGTTTTAAGTTTTCTCTCTTGAATCTGTTTTGAAAGGTATGATTTATAAGATCATTTGCTCAAATTAACATAACATTTAACTGTAATCTATAATCCGGGTCCTATGAGTCGGAAGCTTGACAGAATTGTAACACTATAATAGTGAAACAGAAGCCTTACGTAATTCAGAAGTAAATTTGATTGATCGAGAGGTTAATTTGACTGTTATAAAATGAGAAGAGTAAAAAAAAATAATTCATACCGGTTTGAACTGATCGGTATCGGTAAGGAAAAAATCCTATCGATCATAACTCTGGGACTGGGACCACAACAGTAACCAAAACCAGTTCCCTATATCTTTAATTCTGATACTTCACGATTATTTTTCTCGATCATGTTTATATAATGTTGAAAAATCATAATCTCAAATAAAATCGTTTGTTTTTTTTTCTTACCACTTTCTAATGAGTTGTTAACTTGAATAGTTGATTTATCATCCTCATCATTTATAGTTAAATCAAAAACATGATAACCATTTTCTATTTTATTATTTATTGAATTAGATTTTGTTTTTTTCGATTTATTTCTCTTCATATCTTTTTTATAACGTCGTTGAAAATCAGCATAATATTTTGGATTAATATATTCTTGTGGTAGATTCATTTTACATTTAAGCCATTCCGTATGTGCATCACTTGTTCGTTGATATAATTCACGTATTAATATTGTTCGAACATTTTCTATTGTTGAACAAGGATGAAGATGTCCAATAATTGAATCATGTGTACTTGTTGGTAATTGTGTTCTAAAGAATTAAATAAAAAAACAAAAATTTCTTTTTTTTTTTTTTTTATTAAATAAATCATACTGATTTAATAAATCTTCTTCATTTTCATCTGAACTTGTTAGAATAACATCTGTTTCTAATGATGGTTTGCTATGACAAAATATTAATATATAAATAGAATTTAAATATTTATTAATTTAAACCTTTTTAATGTTGATGAATTAATATTTGAAAGAGGAATAAAATCACCTAAAGATTGAGCTGGTTTATTTAATGATGTATTATTTCCATTTTGATTAATACTTTATAAAAGAACAACAAAAAATAAAAATAAAACAGCAAAGCAAATAAAATTTAATATGAGAAAAAAATTATTTTACTATTCATTGTCAGTTTGATTATTATCTGAATCAACATATTTTGATGGAAATAATCGTTTAAATATTAGATCTCGTTTTATTTGATAATTTTTAGATGTTTCTTCATTATTATCATTAAAAAAAATATGAGAAGAAGTGGATTTTCGAGTTTCTGTCCGTTCAAAATAACGTGTATAAATCGCCGGAGTAAAATCCGACTTTCGACCAGAATTATTCGACATTTAATCTATGAAATTCAGATAGAAAAAAAAAGGATGAGCCAATAACTTCATGGTGATTTTATTGGATAATTGAATAAACAAATTAAATTTTTATTTTAAAAAATGAAATTGTTTTCTACAATGACTAAACTCGTGGTTTCTTTTATTTAAAAATACAAAAATTTTTAACATAAAATTTAATATTGAGGAAAAAAAAATACAAATTTATCTATATTGAAAGTGGCGTTCCTATCATTTTGTTTATTATTGTCATTGATTTAATGTATTTATTGTTCTGTCGATAAAATTTTTCTTTCAATAATAATAATAATAATAATAATAATATATATTTATTTGTTTATTTCTTATTGCCAAATAAGTAATATGCCTATTAATGAACCAACATCATCAGGTAAAAATAAATTAGGTTTAACATTACCCGAAGTACCAAAAGATTCAAGTGATCAAAATCATAGTGAAAATGGGTATGAAAAAAAAACAACAATTTAAAAATAGATATAAACAATTATCATTTCTTATTCGTTTTTTTTTTCTTTTTTTTAGTATTCCAGATGTATGTATTGAACGTTTACAAGAAGAATTTAATCAACTTGAATGTACGGATAAACAAAAAGATCGTATGGAGGAATTTTTTAAAGCAAAACGTGCTGTAGGAGAAATAAAACAAGATGATCTTGTTAATATATATGAATTAGGTCAAGGAAATGGTGGAGTTGTTTATAAAGTTCGTCATAAACCAACAGATAAAATTATGGCTAGAAAAGTATGTTAATTATTAAGATAAAAGTTTTTATTTTTATTTGAAAATTTTTTTTAGATCATTTATTTGGAAGTTAAACCGGCATTGAAAACTCAGATTATTCGAGAACTTAAAGTAAATTCATATTGTTTTATTGTTATTATTTATTTAAATAATCATCATTTAGGTACTTCATCAATGTAATTCACCATATATTGTTGGATTTTATGGAGCATTTGCTGTTGAAGCTCAAATTAGTATTTGTATGGAATATATGGTAAATTTAAAGATTACAGAATGATCCAAAAGAAGTAGTTATTTTGTTTGAGAATTAAGTTGTTCGTTATATTTTATTCACATGAGCAATTTTTTTCTTTAATAGTATTTCTGTGGTTAAGTGATTATGTAGTACAGTAGACTGACGAAATAGAAAGAATATCGATTATGAAGAATAAGGCAGTAAATGAGCATCTGGTAAGAAAAAAAAAACAAATCTAAGTTAGAAAGATGTTATATTAAATTTCGTTTTTATCAGGATTGTGATCAATAACTCTCTCGAGGATTGCAAAGTACATCATTATAAATTCAATGCAGTTCTAGTTTTGAATTACAAATAAAAATGGAAATTCGTTTCCTACATTTGTGCTAATAATTATAAGTTTTTTCGATTCTCATATGACAATTAACAAGATGCATAGAAATTTCTTGATGTAAACAAGGAAAACGATAAATTTACTATAATTGTATTGGATGAAAGAACTAAGAACTTCCGACATCATAATATTTTTATCATTGGAAAAAAATTTGTAGATCTGACTGATAGATAGAACAAATATGTCATGCTGGAATATCTATCTATAATGTATTAAAATTTTGTATACATTTATTCTAGGATGGCGGCTCATTAGATTTAATTTTAAAAAAGGTCATGCGTATTCCAGAACATATTCTCGGCAAAATTACTGTTGCTGTAAGTTGAATCGTATTACTTAAGAAATCAAACTGGCATTTTTTTGTCTTAGGTCCTTCGTGGTTTAAGTTATTTACGAGAACGACATCGTATAATGCATCGAGGTAAAATTTCTTTTTCTTTTTTTTTATTTAAATTCTTTTTTGAATTTTAAAAATTTAGATATTAAACCATCGAATATTCTTGTGAATCTTCAGGGTAATATTAATTTTCAATGTAATATTTTGTTTTATTTTTATCTAATTATTAAAAATAGGTGAAATAAAATTATGTGATTTTGGTGTTAGTGCACAATTAATTGATTCAACATTACATACATTCATTGGTACTCGTTCCTATATGTCGGTAAGAAAGTTTTCTTTTTGAAATATTATTTTCAAAATCTTTTTTTCAAAGCCTGAAAGACTTGAAGGTGCACATTATGGAATAATGAGTGATATATGGTCATTAGGTCTTTCACTTGTCGAAATGGCTGTTGGTCGATATCCAATTCCACCACCATCAATGCATGATATTGATAATTTATTTAAAGAAGATCCACTTGGAAATCGATCTCGACCAGAAGGTTACTTTAAAATTGTTTTTTTTTAGAATAATCTTTGTCTAATTTGAGAAAAAAAAACATTTAGGATTTGGATCTTATAAAGGTTTAGCTATATTTGAATTAATGGAATGGATTGTTAATGAAGCCCCACCAAGTTTACCACGATCACATTTTTCATCAGAATTTTGTGATTTTGTTGATCGTTGGTAAGTCTATTGATTTAGTTTATATTTTAATCTAATTTTTATATGATTTATTTTAGTTTAAAAAAGAGTACAACTGAACGAGCTGATTTAAATACACTTTTAGTAGGAAATTTTAGAATTTTTTTTTTTTTGTTAAAGAATTTTATTATTTTTTTTTGTTTTTAGCATCATTCATTTTATAAACGATATGAAACTGAAAGTGATAATCAAGAAGTTTCATCATGGATACGACAAGCATGTGGATCTGATGCAGATACAATCAATGAAAATAATAATCGACGTAGTGGAAGTGCTATGTAACTAAAATGAAAGGAAGAAAACATCTAGTCAGATGTGTATTGATATCTTTTATTTTTCTTCTTATTAAATGAAAATAAAAATATTTAACTTCTCCTTTCAATGTTGTTCGTTTGTCAATTTAACAGTATATATTTTTTTTTTCTTTTTGTTTTTTGTCTTTGTACATTTATTGTATTAGTTAAAATAAGGAAAATGTATGTTTTATGCAAACAGTAATCTATTCATACAATTTGTCCTTCAATTTAAGAACTTAACTATTTCTATTTTCTTTGTTTTGTGAATAGTTTATAGAAGAATCAATGAATAACATAAATAACCATTGATATTCATTCCACTGGGCTTTTTTTTTGATATTTTTCATTAGTTTTCTATATTCTTGTTATTTTTTCTGCATGGTGAAAAAACCTAAGACATCCTTCCATTCTCAAAAATCGATTTTGGACTAGGCAAATTTAAATCGTCTGAGATTTTCAGCTCTATACCATGATGTTTGAGGGTGATATTCACCAAACAAGAGTTCATTTGACTGTATTCTTATAATAGGTATTTCACTGTATGATATGATAATATCATGTGGTGAAACATCTACTATAAGAATATCTATTTGATCATCTGAAATTCTCTACTTCGAGAATTATGAGATGCACGATCAAAAAAAGTATAAACAGGGAAAAATACGAAAAAGATTTGCCGTTCATTTTCTGAAAAGAAAAGGTAATGGAAATCATTGGAAGTTTTTCAAAGAAAACGATATGCCAAGTAAGAAGTCATATGGTTTGTGAAAAATTCAATCTCAAACTATTCTCTCAAATGTTTATCTTAAATTCGATCAATCTAACAGAAATGCGCTTTTCTTTTAGAAGATGAGGGCTTAAAAAGTATATAATATTTTAAGAAAGTGTTAATGTTTTTCTTTTTGATGGTAAGATCTTTGACTAAGATCTGCCAGTTCCATGAAAGGAACGATAATGAATATGTTGGTAAGTGTTCATCCGTCTCAATTTGCAAAAGTCAATATTTTAGATATTAAAATTTTAAATAGTTGTATTAGATTAACAGAAATAATACAATAAGTTAATCATTTCCATTTGTCTTAAATTAGTATTTTTGAATTTTCGATAAATATCAAACAATGATCAAATTTTTATTATGTTAAAATTTTCAATCTTGATCAATTCATTAAATAATTACCATTCATTTCATTTAAATAATTTTTTTCTCTTATCTTTAATGACATCAATAAGTTTATTTTTTTGGTAAAAAATGAACATATTGAACTAATTGCAAAATATTTTTAACAAATCATTCGTTTTAATAATCAAATGTTAGAAAACTACGATAGACTCTTAACGAAAGATTTACATTTTCAAAGACTTATTAATCATGTTGGCGAAGTTTCAAATTTTAATGTAATACTTGAATACAAAATTTAATGGTCGCGTCAGAATTAAAGAGAGATGGGTGTAGCCTTAATAACATGACAATAACAATAGCTGGCGACCTGTAATTTTTGAGAAATCGACAGAAGAGAACTCTGAACGTCTTTTTGTCTGATGCTATATAGGATAAAACTACTTTAGAATCCATTATCTTCACAAAATATTCCGAAAACGGTGTTTTGTTTCATGAAAATTTTGATAAAAACTCAGAAAATTTGCTAAAAGCCGGCAGAACTCTACATAATTTGATTGAATAGATACGCAATTTTGTTAACTCAACATTGAGATTTGAGAAGATAATTATCTGAGTTGTACCTTGAACTATAGATCTACAGTTCTTCTATCTGAAAACACATATCAAAATCAAAATTACATCGAAACACAACACTATTTTCATGCATTTTTTGTTTTGAATGTTTGACGAAGATGATGGATTTTAAAACAATTTTATCTTATATAGTATCATAAAAAAAAGACATGCATAGTTCTCCTGTTTCGATTGCTGAAGACTACAGGTCGCTAGCTGTTGTTGTCGAGATATTGATTTTACGCTCAATTCTCTTTTAATTCTACGGTGGATATTAGACAATATATTTTATCTAAATTCTTGAATATGTAGAATCGATGGGAGGTATCTAAAATCTTTTCTTTTTGATAAACAGAAACATATCCCAACTACTTTAGATTAAACAGATGTGTGTTATTATATCTTCTCTATTATATCTAGCTCAATGTCAAATCTCTTTTTTTGTTCGTTATTTATTGCATCATTCAACGAGTGAGACATCTGTATTTAATATCATTGTATTACGTAGGTTTAGTTTAATTATCAGATTACAATAATAGTTGTTAGAATAGCTTGTTATAGAGTGATTTTTTTGTAAAATCTCATAATCAAATAGTGTCCCAATTACCATCATCATCATACAAATAGGAGAGATGAACTCCTTCAATCTTGAAAAATTTTCGTTTTTCCCAATCACAGTTTCAACGTTTTATTGCCTTTTTTACTCACCAATTCTCAAAATTCGGTCAACTATATCATAAATCTTTCAATCGGCTTCCACTCCCTGCAATCTTGACGACCTCAAGATGTCTTACATACATACAAATAATATGAAATTAATCATTTCTATTTTTATTAATTTTATACATATGTTTATTTTCTTTTGTCAATAATCAATTGTTTTTCTTATATCATTATTATTAACAAATAAAAAATGATACGAGACAAAAAGAAAAAAAAACATAAATGTAATACTGATAATTTTAATCGATGGACCACGGACGGAGAGATAAAAAAAACAAAAGAAATAGAAATAGAAATATAAGTATATTTGTCATTGTACAAACGAATATAGTCCTATAATAAATGAATAGAATAAATGTGAAGAAAGTCTTCGTGAACGATTGATAATATCATTTGTTTCATGTGATAAAAAATCTAAATAAATAAATAAATAAATAGATAAATTATTTTATATAATAATGAATTTAATACATACGTGTTGTACTAGATGATTGATATTTATCTGCATTATATTGTTTATATAGATCAAGTGTTGTTGTCATTATTGTTGTTGTAGTTGTTGTAGTTGTATGACGATGTTTTTTTGAAATATGATAATGATTTTGAATAAGTTTTATCGATCGTTCATCTTGACCATAATGATTCGTTGCACGACAAACAAAATTTGAATTAAAAAAATGTCTTGGAATATGCTACATAAAAAGAAAAAAAAAATTATATTTGTCTTTTATTTTTTCTTCTGTGAAACTAGATCATTCATTTACTTTAATAAAAAGATTTGTTTTCCACCTAGTTGCATTTATCTTTTCTTGTGTAATCGATAAGATTTGATTCTCTCTTCTACTATTATGATTATAAAATCCTTGATTTAATTGATTAGATAAATCCATTTCTTGATTAATATCATTGGTGAATCGATGTAACCACCGTATATCCGGCTCCGGATTAGCATCAATCAAACATTCAAATATAATTGTATCATCGATTGAATGAAAAGTTTTTTCTTTAGGACTATAAACATCTGGCGGAACTAATAAAAAAGTAGAACAAAAAAAAAAAAACAATGGCTAAATTTTTTTAATACTTCGTAAAACTTACATTGAACATCAAGTGTATAAAATCGACCAATTGTACCAATGGAATTAGTTGCTACACATTCATATATTCCATTATGCCAACGATTAACATGATAAAGATTCAATTGACAGGTGGTAGGCGTAGTTGTACAATTGATCATCGTTTTTGGTTGCTCGTCTATAATGAAAGAAAAAAACAATAGAAGAATGGCAATAAAAGAGAAAAAAGTCTTATTGTTTTTAATCTATACCATCGATCTTTTTTATCCAACTGAGAAATGGACTTGGTTTGCCATGTGCTTCACACGCAATAGACACATTTTTTCCGATCTGTGTACGTAATAATGTTGTATATGTATCAGTGACAAAATATGGTCGTTCTAATCAAACAAAATAGAAATATATATCTAGTTATCCACTTATCAAAGAAAAAAAAGAAATAAGTCAGATTTTCATTTTCTTCTTTCTTTCCTATTCAATCTTCATTAGCGCTAAGAGTAAAAAAAAAGAGATCAACATCTAATCATCGTCTCATTTTAATTCCTGTTCTTGTCGTGATCTTGTCCATTTATATTCGAAGAGAACGATGATGTAATCAAACTTTATCAAATGTAATGTATGGATGTCATAAACATATGATGATCATGCTTACCAACAATATTTAAAACGAATAGTTTGATAATTCTATTGTCTTCTTGACATGAATATGTCCCATCATCGGATAAACGTACATCATCAATTGTCAATGAATATGTCATTATTTCATATGACGATGTGCCATTAATAATATGAAGAATAGGACGTTGTTCAATTTGAAAACGTTGATCTAAATTAATTCGACTTGTTGAATAGAAAAATACTTCGGCATCTTCTAAACGTAGCCATAGACCCTGAAACAAACAAAAAGAATAAGGATCATTAAGTTTGATTATAATCAAATGAAAAGTTCTTTTTTTTTTGTTTCATATTCTCTTTCCTTCAAATGTCAATGATCATTAGACATTTGACGACAGGTGAAAAAAAAAGAATGTCATTGATAATTGAACTTACTTTCATATTACCAGACATTGTTGAATTACTTAGTTCGCATTCCATTCGTACCCGTTTGCCCACATTGACATTAATATAATCTCGAGATATATGTGAATCATCATTTAAACTATTTGTCATTGTGTGCAAAACGGTTAAAAATAGTGTCGTCATAAGACGACGGATAATCATTTCATCAATATGTAAAAATGATTGTACATCTAAAAGAATGAATGAAATCGTAGAAAGAGGAAAAAAGACTTGATCTTCTCTATCTATTCACGCTTGTTTGCTTGCATATATATACATGTATAGATGAATATAGAATAGCCAGAAGCTAATTCTAACACCTCTTACACGCTATACTATCGTTGACGTTTGCAACTTTTACTCTTTTTCTTTTTGTCATTATACGAATTTTGCTTCTTATATATATACATATATATTAGAGCCTATGGGCCTCGAGCATATATATATATATAAACGGAAGATTAGTTGTCTTTCGTTTCTATTTTTTTTAACCTTGAATACGTTAGAATATAAAGTAAAAAGATAGTACGCCTGTCTCACGACATGATCAAAATGAATGAATGAACTTATTTTTTTCCAATTTTCATCTCATATATTCTCGTAGATAGTCAGTTGATGTGTGTATGTGATGCGTCATCTCCGCCCATTTCTCGTCGATCATCAACAGTTAATGTATATCTATGCACGCTTACATATAATACAAACACTATTATACTAAAAAAAAAATAGTGAGATGAGAGATCTCAACTGAAGGATGTATGAATAGGTATAGGTAAAAAAGGGGCAGAGAGACAGATGACAGTAACTCACCTGTAGCTATCAATAACGGATGTTAGTGATGATCTGCTTCTGGCAGCACGTCGTCGATGAACCATTCATCTAACAACAAACATAGTCATGAGCAAAAAAAAAATTCACCTTTCTTTTCCTTCGTCCACTTTCTCTTCAATGTGTTTTATGAGAGTGAAAGAGACAGCGAGAGCGAGAAAAAGAAGGCATAAGAGAGCACGAGAAAGAGGAAGAAAGAGAAGCAGACAGACAACCAAATAATTGGCTCATTGTTATCATTTGCTTCATCATCTTTCCTCATATTCACTAGTTCGAACGCTAATGAACTGTAAATTGATGGGTCGGACGATGATGATGATGATGATGATGATGATGATGATAATGCACCGGCTCGATCTATGGGTATACGGCGCCGGTATTTTGTATCTTGCATGTTGTCAAATAGTAATACATAACTTTTTTTTATTGTTTCAATCAAGGATCTCAATGTCGGTTGAAAGAATCTCAAAGTGGTCACTATTCATCTACCATAAAACTGAATGAACACATGCATATATATATATATGAACAATGCCTATACTCGCTTCTTGCACGTATTAATCCTTCAAATTTAATGATTATGCAAGCAGTCTCTCTCTCTCTCTTCTATCCTTAAATGTCCTCATGGTTTTTTCTGCTCTTTCTTGTTCACTCGCTTACGCGATGAACTACCAATACTACTACTTACTATTGTGAGAACAAACCTAGAGAGAATCTCCCTGTTGAATAAGAATAAGAGAAGAAGAAGAAGAAAAAAAAACGATGAAAAAAAAATATTTATTGATCGGCGATGGTAGTAGTCTTTTTATATATGTATATATATATATATATATATATCAATTGAATTTCCATTTCTTTCTGAAAGACAAAAAAACAAGAACGACTATTGTGTGAGTCGCACAACTATTTTCTTTGTTTTGTATATGTATATACGCTTATGTGTTCGTATGAATGAGCATAAAACAAAAGAAAAAGAAAAAGAGAGACCAGCCAGCACATTAATGTCGATCCCTAAAACTCCTATGTACACATAAACATATTACCATTGGATTTTTTTTTGTAAGATGGTATACGATATCTTTTCTCTTTTAATATCGATCAATCACATGATGTGTATATATATATATATATATATGTATACGTATATGTATATATGTATATATGTTCAATACTCGCTTACTAATTTAGTTAGAGAGCATAAACGAGCTGTTCCCCCTATTCCACTTGACAGTGGCCTCGAGCGTCCACACACATACTACCGACACTTGTTTGGTGATGATGATAACGAGCTTGTGTCAAGAATATTGGAAAGAAGAGCGAAAACGCTTGAATGGAAGACTAATTGGACGTGTAGGGTTGCTTTCTACTAACTATTGGCGTTGAAAAAAAAAAGAAGAACCTTCTTTCTTTCTTCTTCGTCTATATACATATCTTGACTAATTCGTCATCACTTGATTTATCATTGCTCTAACCAAAGAATATGAATTAATCTGAAATGAATGAACTGTTCATGAGAAAGAACAAAATATAATGGAGAAAACATGTCGAACTGATATTGCGTGGCTCTCATTTTATTGCCTGTCAGACTATCTAATTTCCTTTCTGTCCATTCTACGTTCATTTGTATCAATCGACTGGCTACTTACGCACAAAAAAAAAGAAGAAAGACATCGAACATGAGAGAGAGAGAGAGAGAGAGAAAAATACATCATTATATACTTTGAAGACCATGATCAATTATGGTATCGCAAGGTAAATGATGACGATTGACGATGATCGAAACGAACAGTACACATAAGGCTATGATTTGAATAGAATATTTTCCTCGACTTGACCACATGCGGCACATGTATATACTCAGCGTGGTCTCTACTCAATTGACGACTTCCCACAACGATAGTCTCTTCTTCTTCATCTTTTATTTGCAAGTTGTTTAGACAAAGAACAAGCTAATCATCATTCCGACATTCCCGACACACAACTGTTCCATCCATCTGTACAATGATTCTATGTCTATACACGTTTTCTTTTATTTTTAAGACTAACAAACATAGAAATATGTCTGATTTAAATCAAAATTCTATCGAAAGTTAATTTTTTGATTAACATAATATATTCTGTTTTGTTTCAAATTATCATTAAAAACTAGCTATTACTTTAGTTATACTATACAGAAAAAGAAACATCCGGCACTTGTCGTCATCGTCACTGTCATCAGTTTTTCTGTCACGCTAAATCATGTATGCAAGTGATGGTTGTATGGTGTGCTTATGTGTATCTATGATAAAAGTCAGAACACAATTTTGTACTATTGGGATCGAACGAAAGAGATTATGCAATTTTTATGCATCATATTAACTGGATAGTTTGTTTCATAATTTCCCTTGGAGTACAAAGTGTCTCTTTCTCTCTTCTTCTTTTTTTATATTACATTAAATATGATCAACATCACACTTCATTATTGTTTTCTTCATTGCCAAATGTATGATGATGATGATGATGATGATGATCATGACGATTTGAGAATACTGTTGAAAGCAATGAGATGGTTGCCGGCAATCTCATATTACAATACAAAAAAGAAGAAAGATGAAGAAGAAATAAAATAAGAGGATCAACTGATTTTATTTTGTGTTATTCTTTGTAAGATATTGAAATAAGATGTGTATACACTTCAATCGATATTGTTCATAAGAATATAACTAATGTTTTTTTTAGAGAAAAGAATAGATGAACAAGCATCATATAGTTTGACAAGTTTACTGTCAAATAAATATTATCATAGGTGACACTAGTTGGTATTAATTGTTCGTTCTTCCGTATATTATATGGATTTACCCACTATCGAATCAAATAAATTTTAAGATGTTTATTTATTTAAACAAAATCATTTTCTTTTTGTTCAAAAGAAAATATGAAAAATTCAAATAGATTTGCTCTTTTTTTTTCTTTTTTTCAGTTTATTATCAATGTGTGCAGCTCTATCACCAACACCACCAAATTCATCAACAGATTCATCACTTTCACATTCTGGTAAAATAAATATTGAAAGAATGTTTTTATTTTTTCAAATAGATATTTTTATTGAAAAAAAAACAGATCACCAAACAACTGATGAAAAAAATGGTTCTATTGATAATAATAATAATAATAATAATAACAATAATAAATTTCAACAGCCAGCATTTCTTCGTTCATTCGAAGCTGAATTAGATAAAGTAGATGAATATTTTCAGACAAAAGCACCTGATGTTCGTCAAGCTATACTTGATAGTTTACAACGTATGTATAATCAGAATGAATGGCATGATAATCCATTAACAATTATTTGTCGCGATCTTGAAATTCATGTAAGAATGAATTTTTTAAATCATTAATTCTACATTTTATTTTTGTTTTATAAGGTACCGACACCTGAACAATTAATGGAATTAAAAGCAACACGTGATGCATTAAAAGCTGAATATGATGCTTTACGTCAGTCAGTGAACAATTGATTTTGTATTATTATTATTTATTGGTTTTTTTTTTGTCGCAAAATATTCAACAATCATTTGTTTCTTCTAGTCGAAAAGATAAATAAAAAAAAAGAAATAGATAAACCGATTTGTTTGTTTTTTGTTCTCGGTCTTAAAATTTTTTTGTTCTTTGTGCTCTATTTTTTTTTGGTATCGATCTATTTTGTGCCTTTATTCTCTCAGGAACTTGTCATTCTTTGGTGTGTGCGTGTATATAACTTTTCTTTGGTCATTTCATTTCTTTTTTTTGTCTTTTTGTTTTTGATAAATAGAAACAGACTTACGAGT